CATATTTCTATTTATAGAAACAGCAATTCCAGTTATCTGTTCAAGGATATTGAAAGATTTCTTCGTCAAACGTCTTGGTTTCACTTTCAAAGTAAGATGAATCTTGTTGAGACCGAAAACAAAACCTTGGATTCCTTCTAACAAACGTACGAATTGGTTAAAGCCAAATATAAATATATTATTTAACCAAAACCCATTTGATTCACACATAGGATATTTATCTACAAGTTTTTGAAACTCAATTAGATATGAGGGAATTAGAAAAGGTTTTAATCTTTTAAACTTGATATCTAACTCCCTCAAAGATCGAGAAACAAAGACAAGATTTATAATAACAAGATAACCAACACCAATAAGAAGGAAAAGCGTTGAAACGAAAAAAGCCCAACCACTTGGTGATCTAAAATGTGTTGATGTTTTAGTATTTCGTTGCAACCTTTCATTAGCTAGAAGACGGTTATGTAACCACTTACTTGAGATTTCACTTGTTATAAAAAAGGGCAACAATTTCATCTTAAAAATTTGCCATAATAAATACAAAATCTCCCAATAAATAGATATCCTACTATTTAATATTGAAACTATATCTATCAATAGAGAATAGAGATATTTGTACCCTGTCAAAGTAAAGAAGTTTGGCAAATTCATTTGGAAAAGATTTAATTTTTCTGATAAAATGGAAAAAAAATTCTCTCTATGAAAAGTTGTTGCCATCCGTCTTTTCTGAAACACAGCGCCTTTTTTTCGATTTTTTTTGTTTTGAAATGAAAAATATTTATAAGAACAGGGAATGTCAACCAAATCCATATCCATATTTAAATTAAAATTAGGATATTCTTGAAAGTGATTTTCTTCTGAATCATATAGATTTCTATTTAGATCTGAAAACGGTTGACAATAAGTTGTTTCCAAATTGACTATTTCTTCCTCTGTAGAAGATGTTCCAAAAGTATTTAGAATCAAATTAGGCATGACTGGATCGGATTCCCTTACAGAATTAAAAAAATTCTCAAAGTTATACCGTGGGTCACCATTTTTGGCAAAATCCTTAAATAAGGAATCAATTAGTGAAATAGTAGCTCTATCCCCAAAAACCTGTCTTTTTTTCCCACCACCTAAAGAAACTTTTTGATTCCCAAGGAACAAGCTATTTAGAAATTGCTCATAGAGAAAATACGAATTAGTATTCCGAGTCCTTTCCACAGAAAATGGAAATCTTCTCTTACAATCTAACCAAAAGTTAGAGTTAGGGCGAATATTAAAGAAGCGAAGTCTATTTGCTTTATAAAAAGCGGATATAAGTGAACTTCTTTCAAATAGGTTCATGGGATGAAACCCATTAGCCTTTTCATCAAAATATTTTGGTCTAGTAAGCAATGCATCAATCCTCTCTTTTGCTATATTATGAAACAAAAAGGGTGATCTTTTTGTTTCATTGATAACAAAGTTCGACGTACCAGACTCTTCCAACAAAAAGGGGTTTAATTTTTTTAAATAAATCATTTTAAACCCTATTGATTCCAACAACTGATTACAAAGTTGACCGTTCGGTCCTTGTAATTGATAGATATAGATTTCGGACCTCTGAACAGGACTAGTACCAAAACTTACACAGGAAAAACCAAGTGAATTAGACAAAAAGAAAAGCAACTTGATCATACAGTGAAATCCCTTCGTAAAAAAAAAACGAAGTGACTGGGGAAAAAAGAAGAAACGTACTGATTTGGACAACTTGGTAAAAACTAAAGGAACTAACTTATACACATTTTTTTTTACTTTGATTTCTACTTCCCTGCGAACCTTAGACCAATAAATCCATTTCTCAGTTATTTTATCAATAACATAAATACATAATTTATAAACTTTCTCAAACATCATTTGCAAATGGCCCTTTCGGACTTGAACATACATTTCAAAAAGTCTTTTCTGCTCATAAAGAAAATGTTTTGAATTTTCTTGTAAACTCTTTGCCCCATTTGACCATTTGGATCTATATGGATGACCCTGTTTTATTTTATATGTCATATGAGTTAGATGATTGAGAAGACCCGTTTCTTTTTGATCCCCTTGAATTCTCCTAATTCGATATTTGAAATTGTGATTGGATATATTTATGAAAACAAATTTATTTAATAGATTTCTTATGTACACATAGGTACTAGATTGCATTTGAATCATATTGTGAATGAATCTATATCTATATAGATTCACTGCTTCAATCCATACGCAGTTTTGGCCCGTTCGCTGAAAAAAAGAGTTATTCTCCTTATAACGAAAAAAAATAGGCGAAAGAGCCAACAAAGATTGATTTTTTGATTCAGTCCTAGTATTGAATATTTTATTCAATAATTTGATTTTATGCAATTCATATGAATCTATATTAACAAAAAAAGTAAATCCCTGATTATAGACTGGATCCGGCTCGCTTATTGTCAGAATAAATAAACCTGGACTTTTTTGTAATTTTTTTTCTGATTTCCAATTATGTTGTAGCACATAGCTTCCTTGTTTACTTTCAAGGAATCGGTTAACAAAAGAAAATAATGGAGTTTTTTTAAGAAATCCAGTATTCTTCGAATTTTCTATTTCGGGATCCAAAGAAATAGACTTAATTAAAACAGTCCTTTTTAAATACGTAAGTATTCTAAATAGATTAACTATTTCTTTCTTTTCCGCTTGCCGGACAAAAGAAAGAGATTTATTCCTAAATTTCGGATCCATATTGGACTTAGCAATAGGAGTTGATCCCATATAAAGTTCTGACCATCTATCAGAGTAAAATGAATAAAGGGACCTCGGGGCATTGCCCCGAGATTGTTCCCTTTCTTTCGGAAACGGAAGGCTTAGCGTGGGTTTACGGCCTTTGATCTCTTTTTGTTCGGTTTTAAGAAAGTAAGGATCCCAAGAAGTTGATCTTTGTTTTCGTTGTTTAAATTTTCTTTTATTCATTAATTTGGAATATTCGGAATCCTCATTTCTAATGGAATCCAAAAAATTTCTATCCAAGGATCCTTTCGGTTGGCCGGAATCTTTTACTTGTAAGGAACTAGATCTTGTGGAATCATAAGGAAACTCCAGCGATTTTTTATCTTTTAATAATACCAGATTTAAACCAAGAAGTTTCATTGGAATTTCTCTAAATTCCGTTCTAGTTCGTCTAATAATTTCTCTAATAAAGTTTTTCCCCTGCGTCGAATCTGACTTTGATTGAGGCATGTTAGGTTTTTTTTTTATTGGCAAAACCCGAGTATTATAGTTCGTATTCAGTAAATCAATATCAATTTGATTTTTGCCTTTTGGAAAAGAAAGGAGTAAAATACTCAATCGATTTAGAGTAGAATAACCACTATCTTGATCAGTTATGGATTCACTGCAATTCATCGGTATAGGAAAAAGTCTTTTTAAATAGAGATTTTTTCTTTCAACCATATTTTGATTGCTAATACGATAAATAAAGATAACAACGCCAACGAAAACTAGTAAAACTCCCTTAATCTTGACCGATCGATTGCTTTTTGAACCCTGCAAATTAGGTGAAAGTACAAGACTCCAAATTTGTGGGTCAAACAGTTTTAAAAACCGTTCTTGGGAGACTAAAATATGAATGGAAGATCCGATTGAATTCAATTGGGTCCATGAATCTAAAAAATATTTTGATTTTTTAATCTCTCTCAGTATCTCTCGTAATTCTAGAATCCAGAACTTGTTTTGCTTAGGTTCCATCTCATACCTCCATAAGATTTTATGCAAAAATTTTAAGTACTTGTTTTATATAATTGACTATTGACTATTTAATGTAAAAATAGAAATGATAAATAGAGTCTTTGTTTAGTATTTCAGATTTCCGAAATTCTTTATTTAAACGACATTTTTTTATGTAATATTTTTTGCTGTAATTCGATATTGAATATTAGATTCTCTATTCCTATCATATCCTATCATATAAAATAAAATATCATTTTTTTTTATTTGCAATTCCAAGATTCATAATTACCATAATTATTATATTTTAATTTTCAATTTTTATAGATGATGGTCTCGTTTAAGCATCCATAGCTAAGTGGTTAAAGCGCCCAACTCATAATTGGCGAAGTCGTAGGTTCAATTCCTACTGGATGCACACTATTAGCACTATTAGTTATTTACACAAAATCTCATTGACCCTCCAATTCTTCTTTTTATGATATTTTTGTTATATTTTAGGATATATATTAGCATAGATCTACTTTGAGCATTTCCTTCATAATCCATATTAAATATCATATAAGATATATGCTCCTAGATAGATTTGTCCATATCAAATATCATAGAAGATATATGTTCCTAGATAGATTTCATGTTGACTATTTCCATTTCATATATCATAATAGATAATTCTAGGATACCGATACATATAGAGAATCTATCTCTATATTAGAGATATAGATAGATTCTATCAACACTCAAAATTAACATTTTTATTTCAACTTAAAATAATACGGAATGAATTAAAATTCGGGATGGAATAAAAGATATAATATTAAAAAAAAGAATTTAGTTATTAAAAAATAATAAATAGACTTTTTTTGAAATCCACGTCATAAACTTTGAGTAGTGCTACGCTTCTGGCAAAGGGTCACATAATGGTAGGCCCTCCCTATTAGAGGACATATAATGCAATGGCTACCGCAGATCATTAGACATTGGCTTACACCTCCAAACAAATAAACTTTAAATCCAAAATAAAAATCATTTATATCATGGGAATACAATTATACAAAACTTATAACCCGAGCGAAACCGTAAACAGCCCAAAATTTGCTCGAAGAAAAAATTTGCTCTCTGGAAAGCATCATTGTGGTAAAGGTCGTAATGCTAGAGGAATCATTACAGCAAGGCATAGGGGGGGGGGTCATAAGCGCCTATACCGTAAAATAGACTTTCGACGGAATGAAAAAGACCTATATGGTAGAATCATAACCATAGAATATGACCCTAATAGAAATGCAAACATTTGTCTAATACATTATAAGACTGGTGAGAAGAAGTATATTTTACATCCGAGAGGGGCTCAAATTGGAGATACCATTGTTTCTGGTACAAATGTTTCAATCAAAATTGGAAATGCCCTACCTTTGACCGAAATCCCCTTAGGCACGACTATACATAACCTAGAAATTACACGTGGAAGGGGTGGACAATTAGCTCGAGCAGCGGGTGCAATGGCGAAACTGATTGCAAAAGAGGGTAAATCAGCTACATTAAAATTACCTTCTGGCGAGGTCCGTTTTATATCCCAAAACTGCTCCGCAACAATAGGACAAGTCGGGAATGTTGGGTTCAACCAAAAAAATTTGGGTAGAGCTGGAGCTAAACGATGGCTAGGTAAGCGTCCTGTAGTCAGAGGAGTAGTTATGAACCCCGTAGACCATCCACACGGGGGCGGTGAGGGTAGAGCTCCTATTGGGAGAAAAAAACCTACAACCCCTTGGGGTTATCCCGCACTTGGAAGAAAAACTAGAAAGAGGAATAAATATAGTGAGAAGCTCATTCTTCGTCACCGCAGTTAATATAATAGTATAATATAGTTAATAGAGTGAATATACTTAATGTAATATATATAGTATATAAAATTAATATAATAGAACAAATTAAATTTATTCATTCAATTATATGAAAAATAAAAAAATAAAAGAATAATAAAATTTATAGGAGTAAACTGTGGCACGTTCACTAAAAAAAAATCCCTTTGTAGCTCATAAATTATTAAAAAAAATTGAGAAACTTAACACAAAGGGAGAAAAAGAAATAATAATAACTTGGTCCCGGGGATCTACTATTATTCCAATAATGATTGGTCATACTATTGCCATTCATAATGGGAAAGAGCATCTCCCTATTTATATAATGGATGATATGGTCGGACACAAATTGGGAGAATTTGCAACTACTTTAAATTTTCGAGGACATGCAAAAAATGATAAGAAATCTCATCGGTAATGTGAATACTAAAAAATATTTTGATGCTTATAAGTCATTAGTAGGAGGCAAATTTTATGTACCAGATGCTAAATAAAAAAACCCCAGAAGTATACGTTTTAGGTCGACGTATAGCTATGTCGGCTAATAAAGCACGAAGAGTTATTGACCAAATTCGTGGGCGTTCCTATGAGGAAACACTTATTATATTAGAACTCATGCCCTATCGTGCCAGTTATCAAATTTTAAAATTGGTTTATTCAGCCGCATCAAATGCTAGTTACACTATGGCTTCAAATAAAGCAAATTTAGTTATTAGTCAAGCTGAAGTTAATGAGGGGACTGCTGGAAAGAAATTAAAACCTCGGGCTCGCGGGCGTAGTTATCCAATAAAAAGACCGACCTGCCATATCACTATTGTACTAAAAGATATTTCATTCAATGATTCTGAATCCGTGGAGCTCGGTTTGCTAAAAAAACCACAAGCGAAAAAAAATTCTAGAACTAAAGCATATTCTGATATCCAGAAAAGGAGGTATTTATGGGACAAAAAATAAATCCACTTGGTTTCAGACTTGGTACAAACCAGGCCCATTATTCACTTTGGTTTTCGCAACCAAAAACGTATGCTGAAAATCTGCAAGAAGATCAAAAGATAAGAGCTTTTATAAAAAATTATGTACAAAAAAATAGAATCAAACCCTCGGGTACCGAGGGAATTGCAGGTATATGTATTAAAAAAAGACTCGATCTAATCCAAGTCATAATCTATATTGGATTTCCCAAAGTATTCATTGAAAATAGCCCGCAGGGAGTTGAAGAATTACAAAAAGCTCTACAAAAAAAATTAAATTTCGTAAACCGAAAACTTAATATTGCTATCACAAAAATTGAAAAACCGTATGGAAATCCTAATATTCTTGCCGAATTTATAGCTGGACAATTAAAGAATAGAGTTTCCTTTCGAAAAGCAATGAAAAAAGCTATTGAATTAGCTGAACAAGCAGATACAAAAGGAATTCAAGTACAAATTGCGGGACGCCTTGACGGAAAGGAAATTGCACGTGTGGAATGGATAAGAGAAGGAAGAATTCCCCGCCAAACTATTCAAGCTAAAATTGATTATTGTTGTTATTCAGTTCGAACTATCTACGGGGTTTTAGGCATAAAAATTTGGATATTTTTTGATCAAGCTCAATAAAATTTTATTCATTCTTTTTACCTGTAATACCGAGCGGCCATTTCACAAATTATTTTGTGTAATGAGCAGGAACAGTTCTAATTGATAATAATGAATTCTATAAGGTTGAATAAAAATTTTATTTATTTTTAATAAAAATATCATTGCTATGCTTAGTGTGCGACTCGTTTATTTTTTAAGGTTAGCATGAAACCAAACCCAAAGTAACAACTACTAACTCGAGAAGAAATTACCTAATAATTAACTCATCAATTTCGCATTATCTGGATCTAAATAACCAGTCACGATATGATTACCGCTCATATCGTTGTAGCAACTGCCATTTATTTGCATAAACGAAAAATAGTATTCAAATATTATTGAAGTTGCGAAGCAAAATATAAAAAAGATGTGGATAATTGGAAGGGAGAGAGAAAGGGAGAAAAAGAAGCTCAATGATTGAAAATTCCAATATGTAGGGTCTAACAAAACAGGCAATGTAATGAAGCATTAATACTTAAATTCTGCATATTAAAGTATTTAAAATAGAATAAGAAATCTAAGAATATTCAATAATAAAAAACAATATACTCTTATTATAGAAATCTATAATCTATATATAAATATTCAATTAGATATTAAATATAGAAGAGATAAAATAAAAAAATAAAGTCAAGAGCTTAAAGCCAATAAAGACTAAGAAAAATGGCTAAAGACTTAAATTATTCATATATTATTACTATTTGAGCTCCATTGTAAAATTAGGACCTAACCATTAAGTAAGAAGTGATGGGGACGACGGAACTTATGAGAATACAAAAGATTCAATTCAATTCAAGATGAAATAAAAAAAAATCTTAAACATTCACTGGCTGGGATGGCGGAATAAACCAATGTTAAATTATTTTATTTCTAGATACTAGCTATAAGATGTCACAAACTCGTCCTAGAAATGAAATCTAAATTGACAGAGTCAATATTCGCCCGCGAAAACTTTTTTCAAAAGAATCAATATTCAATCTAAAGCAATATAAAGAATAGTCAAAAATGAAGGATTAGTTAGACTCAGAGAATCATGAAAAAACTGTAGAATAATTCATTTCAATTCAAATAGATTTAAAAAAAGATCACTCAATCCCTAAATATTATTTTGACTTCTCAGTCCAGACTTTTATTATCTATCTTTAGATTTAGATATCTTCACTATGATTAGTCAATTTGAGTCAAACGCTCATTTTGTAAATACTTTATTCGTAATTCGCGAGGAGCTGGATGAGAAGAAACTCTCACATCCGGTTCTGTAGTAGAGATGGAATAAATAAAAATCCATCAACTATAACCCCAAAAGAACCAGATTCCGTAAACAACATAGAGGAAGAATGAAGGGAATAGCTTCTCGAGGGAATCATATTTGTTTCGGTAAATATGCGCTTCAAGCACTTGAACCCGCTTGGATCACATCTAGACAAATAGAAGCTGGGCGACGGGCTATGACACGAAATGCACGTCGTGGAGGAAAAATATGGGTACGTATATTTCCCGATAAACCAGTTACTGTACGACCCGCAGAAACACGTATGGGTTCAGGAAAAGGATCCCCTGAATATTGGGTTGCTGTTGTTAAACCCGGTCGGATACTTTTTGAAATGGGTGGAGTAACAAAAAATATTGCCAGAAAAGCTATTTCAATAGCAGCATCAAAAATGCCGATACAAACTCAATTCATTATTTCGGAGATAGAATAGACGATATAACTCTAGAACCAACCCAAAGAATCTTAAGAATGAAACAAAAACAAAAAAAAAAGAGGTTTCGTTTTATGTTTGTGGACAAAAAATATTTCTTTTTTTCTTCGCCCTTTGCATTGTGAAAGAAAAGAATAAAAAAAATGCTATGATTCAATCCCAAACCCTTTTAAATGTAGCGGATAACAGCGGGGCTCGAAAATTGATGTGTATTCGAATAATAGGAGCTAGCAATCGTCGATATGCTTATATTGGTGACATTATTGTTGCTGTTATCAAAGAAGCTGTACCTAACATGCCTCTACAAAGATCTGAAGTAGTTAGAGCCGTAATCGTGCGTACCTCTAAAGAACTAAAACGTGGCAACGGGATAATAATACGATATGATGATAATGCCGCAGTTGTTATTGATAAAGAAGGAAATCCAAAAGGGACCAGAATTTTTGGTCCAATCCCCCGGGAGTTAAGACAATTAAATTTTACTAAAATCGTTTCATTAGCTCCTGAGGTATTATAAAAAAAATTAAAAAATGGAGTAGAATCTGTCTCACGTATATAACTTTAAGATTAAAATAAAGTAAGATAAACACAATAATCCATAGACAATAAAAAAAACACGTTGAGAGTAGAAAAATTTTTAGCTCCATAATTAGAGTTCATCATGGGTAGGGACACTATTGCTGAGATAATAACTTCTATACGGAATACTCATAGGGATGGAAAAAGAACAGTTCGAATCCCATCCAGTAATATTAACGAAAAGATTGTAAAACTCCTTTTAAAAGAAGGTTTTATTGAAAGTGTGAGAAATCATCGAGAAAACAACAAAAATTTTTTAGTTTTAACTCTGCAACATATAAACACTAAAAAAAGGACCTTTAGCAATATTCTAAATTTAAAACGGATAAGTCGACCCGGTCTACGAATGTATTCTAAGTCTAAAAAAATACCTAAAATTTTAGGCGGGATGGGGGTTGTAATTCTTTCTACTTCACGTGGTATAATGACAGACCGAGAAGCCCGACTGCAAAGAATCGGGGGGGAGATTTTGTTTTATATATGGTAATATTTTCAAGATGCCAATTAGGTAGAAACTTTCCATTTCTATGATTCCCAAATGGGATATTTTAGAATCTAATGAAATCCCCATTCCTTATTGCTTCTAGGTCACTGAAATAAAGAATAAAGTCCTTCGGATGAAAGAACAAAAATCACTTTCCTTTTTTCAAGAATTTTTTTATTAAGGAATCCTTTTCAAATAGTATGTTCTGGTTTTCTTTTTTATTGATTTAGATAATCAACTAATAAAGTAATAAAGATTGGATTATAAGTTCTTTTTGTGAAAATAGGCTAAATTCATTTTTAGTTTAGACGGATAACTTCAGAACAAGTCGATGAAGCTTTTGCAACACAACAATGATTCAAAGGAGTCATTTTTAAACTTAGCTATCTCTTTGGCAAAAATAACAAAATTAGAAATTGAAAATAAAAAAAAAAATGAATGTTTTTATTATAATCTTCCAATCAAACCGAAACTCTAAAGTAAATTTAAAAGAAATGTAAGGAGTCTGAATATGAAAATAAGAGCTTCTGTTCGTAAAATTTGTGACAGATGTCGATTAATACGGAGAAGGGGACGACTTATAGTAATTTGTTCCAATCCCAGACATAAACAACGACAGGGATAATAAGACTTCGCAACTTAACTTAGTAACTAAACCAATTATAGAAATGAAAGAATCGTGAAATGGATATATCCATATAGTATATCGCTGACTCAGATTTACAAAATGCTTAATGGTAAAATATATATCGAGAATTAGTTCGCGTAGGAAGGGGGGACGTATTGGTTCACGTCAGAATGCACGTAGAATACCAAAAGGAGTAATTCATGTTCAAGCCAGTTTCCATAATACCATAGTGACTGTTACAGATGTACAGGGACGGGTAGTTTCTTGGTCCTCTGCCGGTACTTCTGGATTCAAAGGAACCAGAAGAGGAACACCTTTCGCTGCTCAAACCGCGGTAATAAAT